GCCTGTCTCGGCTGTCACCTCCCCTCTGCCCTGAAGGAACCGAGGGGGTGGGGAGAGTCTCACCTGTACTGACCAGGGTACTGTTGTTGTACAGGGTCCCCAGGTGAGGCCCGGACAGCGACAGGAAGGTGTGGAGTTTGTTGAGGTAATACCGGAACCGGGGCCGCGTGAGGACCGATCGGATGATGATGTTGCCAAGAGAATGGCCAATGAAGCTGTTGAGAGGCAGAAGCGGTCCACGTGAGTGCGACAGCAGGAGGCCAGCTGCCCGGAACGCGCTGCACTGGGAACACCAAGGGGTGACCGCCCTCCGCCTCCCACGGCACTTAGGGAAACCGCCAGTCCATCCCCACAGGGTTTCCGGATGCTGGCCACGTGAAGCCTGAGATGGAAGCTCTGGCCCACAGTGGCTGGAGGAGGAGTGTGGGCATCTTCCCGGTTTTGTGTTAGTAGAGCAGCCCCCACTCTGGTCTCCATGTCTCCCTCGGTGCACCGGGGGGTCCTCTCTGACATACGCATCTCAGCACTGACATCCCAGTCACTCACAGGGTAAAATCCAGCTCCTGAGCTTGGCTTATGAGGTTATTCCTGACCTGACCTCCGCCTGCATTCTCTGGCTTTACTCAGGACACAGCTCTGAACTGCCCGCTCTCAGCCCACAACAGCTCTGCTCCGGCGGGACTGCTGCCACAGGTCTATGGGTTCCACACATCACTACTTTCAGTCAATGTTAAGTAAATTTGTTAGAGAACACAACACACAAGCTGTTGACTATCACCTCAACCATGTCAACAGTGACCCCGAGTTGTCACAGTGGAAGGACCCACTTAGCACTGGCTGAAATCCTTTTATTGGGCAGGCAATACATCTCTCAGCGCTGGTCCCACTTAGTCAATGGGAAGACAAAGGCTCAGCGATGTAGGAAGCTTGTAAAAGGTTACACAGTGGAGCTGGGACACAAGCTTGTAAGTGTTGGCAGAACACACTTAAAACCTAGAGATGGCTGTTTAAGTCCAATTCTCTTTCTACTGAGCTACAAAATGTTATAGTCCTGCACACAAGCATGGGCGTGTCAAGCAGCCCTGACCTCATTTCTGCCCTGAAACTAAACCACTCCATCAAGAGTCACAAGTGAACTTGTCCCAGACTCGTACACAAAAGGCATCACGCTGAACTTGTACACAGAGAACACTCAAACATGGCACCCCTCCCCCCGGCATTAACTACCTGTGGTTTCCTTTTACCTAATTCGCGATATGGAGAGGTTGTACAGCTGAATGTGCTGAATGATTTCATCCAGTAACCGATCCGTCATGGTGTCAAAATCCGCAAATGTGTCCGTCTGGAAGGAGAGGGAGGAGACGGGCGCTGGGCGGG